GTCGCGATGCCCAAGGTAAAACGGAGCGTAAGTGATGATTAGCCAAGTACTTCAGTGAGATGATTCAAACTCGTGGATACTAGCCCTTGTCATCGTGGTCTCAAATCGAAACGTGCTATTGAAAGACTGTGACTTCAAAATAGCTCATATAGCGATCGAGATTTCGGTGGAATAGGCCCACCAGATTCGCGACACTACATACAAGCCAGAGAGGAATATATGATGCGCATCGAACTATAGCAGGTACCCGATAAGGAAACCGACCATGTCAAGAACGATCATGTCGACACTCAAGATCAGAAATTGACAGTGATCTCATTCCTCTCCATGATGGATTAGGTGATGAGTATGTGGTATCGGGTTGGCCAGGAGATTTCCACGTACACCCTCGGTCGTCGAATTCAAGAAAAAGGCGGAAATCTTATTCTTCGTGCATACGAAAGATAAGAGGCAGCAGTAATTAATCGCCACGAACCTGGATTGTACCCTAGGCATTGTACGTGATTATCACACCAGCTCGGATCATGCTCATCAGACATGTAAGTGTCCCCAAAGCTTGACTACTTGCATTCTCGAGGACTGCCACATCGAAATAATGATGACGACTACCCACATGAATGGCGCAATGGAGCGTTGCTGGGGGATGAATGGATGGATAGGAAGGAGCGCCTGATAGTCCATCACTGCCACCTGCCCTGAAGATGCACTTTCCGTCTATCGATAAGTTTTCTAGCTCCTTCCTACAGGCTCAATATATTAACAGGCCTCCGTATCTCTTCGGGTTTGCACTTCTCTAACCGTTCCATTGACAGCCCAAGTCTTCTTCATGCTTTACCTCAAATCATCACCTGTCATTCCAATGCTATCAGCTCTCGATAGCTTGTGGCAGACGGCCCAAGTATCCGAGAAGTCCGCCATGCTCCAGCGTTCATGCTCATTATCGGAATACCTACATGCTGATGTTACTCTCGGAAAATTGGACAGTGCAATCGGGCCAGATACTGGACTTTCCTCTGATGTGCCCGGCTTTCAACAACACATCCATTGGCATTTCACTGCAAGGACGTCGTCTGCCCACGGCCATCCGTCGACAGATAGCACCCCAGGCCGATCGCCAATGCCAATTGCAATTGAGTCGCCTACTACGAAATCTGATAGATAGGACGAAAGCAAAGTATCACAGGTATCTCACTCGATCAGAAGTAGACAGCCAAATGTCGATATCACAAGGATGACATCGCCTTCAGTGAGGCTTATGCCGGACATTCCAGGTCTCTACCTCTATCTAAGAAGACGGTCAAGGGGTTCGACGAAAGAAAACACCCATAAACTTGTTGACTTACAATTATATCAGACCGGTCACAACACATTGCTCAAGACGGAAAAAAGCTTGATACAACTGGGCGTAGCCGACATAGAGTTTACCGAGGGAACGGTTAGCGGTAGCATCCGATCGGAAGGGCGTATGACAGTGAGCCAAAGCCATGTACAGGCTTGCTGAGAGTCGACATGGTGTCACTAAGTTCTACGTAGTTATCGTTGAACTCCCCTTCAGAACCATGTCTTGCTTGCTAATTTGTCCAGTCTAGGAACTCCGCGTGTGCGGAATCACAACCAGTCATGCGTAGGCTATCCAGGTAGTCACGTATCTCCCATATCGTCCCATTTCTTCTGGGCTAAACAATTGGCAGCTGCTCTTACATCGTGTACGACCTATTCCCCCTACGATATCTGGTGCAGTTGCTCTACGCTCATCTCTACGCCCATGGAAAGGCACGCTACATGCAGCCAGAAAGGCAGGCCTTCGAGACAGACCTCTCTGATGAGTCCAGAATAGCGCTCTCTAAGCTTACTAGACAAGCCTGCCGAAGACACGGATGTTGTGTGCTAGAAAGGGACGAGCTTTCAAGTGAGGCCGGACGGGATGGACCCGCCAAACCGGGGCCCTTGCCGGCTTTGCCGGGTCAGTAATCGCTCCAGTGGGTGCACGGAGATGCGTGGTGGCCAAATGAAATAGTGCCGTATCTTTGAACGAGTGGCCGGAGCATGTATAGGTACAACAGGCAAAGCTCCACCGTGTTGATTGTCTACATGGATGATCAGATCATGTCTGTCCACTACCAGGGACCTCTTTTCCTTGTCTCAAGCAAGTCCAGCCCATCCTGTTGTGGAGCTACAGGGCGTCCGGGAAAGTGACAGGTCAGATTCCCAAATCAATTCAGCGAAAAGATATGCAAGTCTCAACCCTGCCCCCAGGCATTCCAGCCATGGCACCGGAAATTTAGGGCAGAAAAGGGGAGGGTCAGAAGTCGAGTGAGGGTATGCTTGCTAACAATCGGTGCTGCTCTAGACTCGTCTAGGTCAAGCAATATGGCAATGTAGCGCTTTGCACCTTTACTCCCGAGCCGGCGCCTATTCTGTCATGCTCGAGCGGTCAGACACAGGGTATACCCGAGATCTGCGTCTCTTCCCGCTACTTGGATCCCGCCCGCCATCTAGAGTGCTGGGCTCGAGGGGCGAGACGCCTACTGTGACCAAGTAGGGATGGGCTTGCTCGCGCGCCCAAGGCTCAGAGCCAAAATAGACGCTCCATATACCATGCATGGTTCCAGACGAAGGCGTTCGCTGATAACACACTATCACCGAATCACTTTCTATATACTGTCTAAACGAAATGCTATTCCTTATCGACACCCAGCAGAAGCAAAGTATTCGCTTTACACTGGGCTCCGGTTGCCATATTCCATGGTAGATAGATAGCCTTGCTCCAGCACAAGAACAAGGATAGGAACTCAGCCGTGTTTCAATATCTCTACACCCTTGCCGGCAATACAAATACATACCACCACTGCTCACTGTGCCGCGATCTGCAACTTGGTGCCCTGCCCCTCGGAGATCAGAGACAGCGCCATACCAACTCCCTGTCCCACTCCGCCTCGAAGCAAACCTCGTCTAGCTGCAATCTCATTGCTTGTTCCAGTCTGGTCGTTCCGTGCCTTGGAACAAAACTAGCTAAGGGCTGAAATATTGCTAAGCTTACAGCTATAGCTATGTTCAGGTGTCTTCTTATGCTCATGCCTCAATATGTCGCTACAAATAAGTCAGTATGTGCGACCAATAAGCAACAGCGCTAATGCGCACTAACACGGAAGGTCCCAAGCAGCCGGACCCCATGATCCCTTACTCTTCAGAGACATCAAATAAGACGGAACCAAAACCTCGTCTCTAAGCAGTCGACCAGCCTCATGCAAGGTCCTGGTCACTTGTCATACCGCGGTACTATCCTACTCATATCTGACCTATCCAGTGCTGGGATTCATACATTTCTGGCTTCTAAGGTTGGTCCTACCAGACTGAAAATTGATTACCTTGCTTTTCCAGCATGCATTACTATAACTTCGTGTTACAGATTTTTGGCGACCAAGACTGGCGGGGATCGCGGGGCAATCCGGTCTGTGGGACGACGTGCAAAAGTCCATGGAATTCGCAAGCCTCGATCCGTTTGTCACTCTGTTGCGAGCTGGAGGGGCTTGGTCCCATCTCGCAGCTGCGAGCAAGTGTGAGCAGGCGGGAAGTGGGAGGCCACACTTTCAGCCAGCAACCTGCATTAGCTTTGTCGAGTTGCAAACGCCCATGCCGCCCATAGTCTCACATCGCGTATGTAGGGAACGGCTGAGCTGACATGAGAAAGAAAAAAGTTGCGATGCCCTGCAGAAAAGCTGTCCTGCAGATGTCGCTTCCCGCGCCCATCCGCAGGCCACAAACGGAATCCCGGGAACATGCGGCTGACTTACTGGCCCACCGATTTTGACGAAGGTTCTTGTCTGACAATGTCATATGAACAAGCCCGAGCGTGGCAACCTAATAACGACAAGCCACAGGCCCCGGATGCCGCTGTCTCCCTCATAATCACTGTCAGGTCGAGATTGCTGCCTGACCGTAGGGCACCGCAGACAGGCCTCCGAAGGCTGGCCAGAGAGAGAGGAGCCGACAGATTTCCGTGTAAAGCTAAGATCGGCCTACCTTTCCAGGGTCCAACAAAGCTTCCCAAGTTGCGGAGGAGAGTCACGTCTGGTCTTTGGGCTGATAGGCCCGACCAGAGGTTCGATGCGGTCTGGACTTTGCAGTAGACTGCTCTCCATCTTGCGTCACTAGCCTCCTTCTCCAAGGCGGGAGATCGGCGCAGATTAACACGGTCGTCATTTTCAAGCCGACCAGTCAATCTTGTTGGTAAGGCGCATACACCGCCTATCACAGCCAGCCCTAGAGAGGCCGATTGGGCAGGAATCACTTCTGCGATCAGGTGCCAGCCACCCTTCCCCCTCTCTCCTACGTCTCCCTTCCCTTCATCCCTCCCCCCCCCCTCTCCGACGTCTGCCCCGGACTGCCTTCCTCCAATCCATTTGCCCGGGCCTCCGAGCCCGCATTTCTCGCGTGGCGGCGGCGGTGGGTCAGGTTGACCGCCGCCCACCCCTCTCTCCCGAAACTGCGTTATGGTGTGTGCCCGCCACTTGATCACCCGCATGAGGCTTACAAGGCCATGTTCAAGGGACCTTGCCCGCATATTGCCCATTATTGTTCTTATCAAATAAGCGTAGGGCAGAAAGATCGACGGTGAGGCGCCGGCCGAGGCTAGCGCTTTTTCCAACAACCACACTTTGTTCGACGTCCAACAGTCATCAAACGCCGAGCTGGCCGGCAATCCTTCCAAAGCAAACAACCATGGAAAGGAAGACGGCTGAATTAGCTGAGCAGAAAGCTGGGTTACATTTCCTTCGCTAGTTGCTCTTTTTTTCTTTCTTTCTTTAATTTCTTTGCATATCTCACACCCCCCGGGCGTATCTCGCATACTTGCACGGCATTCTGAACCGGCATCTGGTGGCTTCGCGGCTGCCTTGCTTTGCATTGCGCATCATTGTCTATGCATCATCCGTCTCTCTTTTGATTGATGGTAACAAGGTACAGACAGGTACGTGCGTACATACATACAGCTGCCGAAGTTACTTCGGGCAGAAGAATAACCAGAAAAAAAACCCTAAAAATCCAAAATCCAAAATGAGAAATAGGGAGAAAAGAAGAACCCGAAGAAACGAATAGAAGAAACAAGAACAAGAAAACAAGAGATGAACCCCACCACCCAATTTTTTCTTGCGCAACGACGCAAAGCTCGTGAGAGCATCCAGGCCTGATCTACTACAATACCATAGGTATACATGATTTCTACGACAGGGAAAACAAGAGAGACATACACACGTACATACGTACAACACCAACCCCCCACCCCCGCCCCCATCACACACACACACACTCTCTCTCTCTCTCTCTCACGCAACTCGGTGCCCTTTTCCTTTTTTTTTTTTTTCTCCCGAAGTATTTTTTTCCGTTTTTGTTTCTCATCCCTTCGTTTGCGAGTATCCGGCCTCACTTCTTGAGCGTTATCTGGTGGGCCATCTGCGCCGCGCATTTCATCGTTCGTCGTTCCTCCCGAGTTGCTTTCCTGGTACGCCCATCTATGACCGTCCTTCCGTGAGATTTCCCATTCCCCTTAGGTTTTTTTCTTTACACCACGCACACCCCCTTACCACTTATACACAGACACACACCACCCACCCCCTTGGCTTAGGAAAAAAAAGAAGCCCAAAATCCGCCACCCACATCTCTCTCCCCGTCTTTAGATTTCTCTGTTGTCTTAGCTGGCTGTGCCACCGTTCCCCCGTCTGCGATTTGACCTAGGCAGGTTCAGCCTAGCCGAAGCTTGGCCTACAAGCACATGGACATGGGCATCGGCAGGAGAGCGGAGATATCCTGCAAAGAAAAATGAGAAAAGAAAGAATCAAGAGATGTGTTAAGAAAAAAGAGGAAAAGAAGAAGAAGAAGAAAAAATAGAGAAGAAAACCACAAATGGTTAGCCCATTGAGGATGCTGACATAGATACCTGATGCCTGCCCAACCACCTGTTGGAATGCGTGAGAAGGATGATGAGAGCAGTTATCCTCCCTGAAGAACTCCAAAATCCGCGTAACATCGTGTTGGGTCTCCGTCTCTCGTAACAAGACGTTTCCAACTGCCGAGAATGTACATTGAGGGGGAAGAAAAGAGAATAAAATGAGGCCGCCCACAAAAGCCGACCGCCCAGGCGCCACCATGAATACGTTTACGGGCATCTAGACATTGCCCTGAGATGTACGTTTCTTGGGATTTGATCTCAGGGCGAAGCAGCCGACTAAACCCCAAGTCTTCCTTTTATCTGCTTCCTTGATGAGAGCCGGACCCCGTTTGAGCTCCGCCGCCGCCGTTGCCGCTCGATTCTTCATTTGCCTCGTACTGTTCGAGGCAAGCTTCGATGACTAGGAACGGCATTGTCAGCATGGATGCCTTCCCTCACACGACGTACAAAGTTGGGATCGTCCGGGGGCTTACTCTCTATGATCTGCTGCTCCCATACTCCGTATTGGTAGTCGACCAGACCATGTCGCTCAATGCCGTCGCAAAGCCGGACGAGCTCTTTGCCCATTTTTTCAAGGCCTTCCTTGGGGACCAAGGTCTGCGATCGCTGCAGCTGTCTGCCCGGCTCCATCAAATCCTTCTGCATCTGGAATAGTGAGAGCCACGCGTGATTGAAGTCGTTCCATAGTTTGATTCGGTCTCCATGCAAATTTTGGTCGTCCAGGTTGAGGCCTGTGAATTGTCATTGCATTAGTAAATCTGAACCAGAAGAACCCGAAACTCCAATCCAGAGCTTGGCGCGAGTAACAGAGCAGAGGGGGGGGATCCAACATACCCAGATCGACGACCTGCGTCAGGAGCCAGTTTGACACATCCAGAAGTGACTGGCTGGCGCTTTCGAGCACACCATTGCGGACATTTTGGAAGACACCCCGCAGCGCAGACTGGTATTCCATCCATTTTTCTTCCAGGCCGCCTGTGGCAGAATAGTCCTGCTCTTCCATTGACACGTCGGCACTCGAGGTCTGCTGTGGCATCGCGCCGACGTTAGGGATGTTCGCCTGGTAGTTGGCCATCTGTGGCTGTTGATATGCCGTCGCCGTGGCGCTCGCCGGTTGCGCATGGGGAAGGTTGGAGGTTCCTGTGCTACTACTCGGGTCATTGGAGAAGTACGACGTCGACACGTCTGTCGGCAAGATCGGAGCAGCTGCAGGCTGCCGTTGAAATTGCGCCTGGTTATCGTAGACGGAGCCCGTCGCACCAGTCAGGTTGTCGTATCCCATCGTCATGGCCGCGTTGTATCCACCGAAATTCTGCGCCGGACGGCCGTCCTGGCTATATCCTGAGGGGTAATGCATAGTGTTCGCCGCCATGGGCGCGTTGAAAGAGCCTGCTACCGGCTCTTGGTAATTGTAGGTGCTGTAGCTACCCGTGCTTCCCATGCCTCGCGCCTGCGAGGGCGAAGTGTTTAGTGGCGCTGGCCTGTTGTATCGCTCGGTCGAACCTGTAGCCATGTTGCGGCGCTGCTGCAAAGGGTCCTGTTGCTGTTGTTGTTGCTGTTGTACGTTATATCTTGGGTTGGAGGTGGGATGCATGGGCGCTTCATTCTGCCTCCGACGGCGATTGGGATCATCCATCCCACGAGGGATTTGGTCGCCGGTCGGCTCCGAGGGCAAGCCTACCGTATGCGCCGGCGGCAACGGAGCTGGCGATGTATACAGTAAGGCCAGTTTGGGCCGTCGGACCGGTCACAAGACCGTCCAATTGTCGTGTTGGGGGCCGTTAAACGCTACTGCGTTCCTCTCCCTCTTGCCTTGTCTTCCTCCGGGACTAGCGTGTCCAAGATAGCCAGGCGGTGGCGTGTAACGAAATTTCTTTGCTGATGACAGCGGACGACGCGGGGAGCTATTTTGTCCAGGTGTATGTGGCTCCGCGAAGCAAGATGAGTTGTCGACGTGTCGCGCAAAGTGAAAATAGACAGAGCTCTGGACTCGACCAGGCGGTACTGGCGGATGGTAACGTCGCGAGCCTTAATAATGGCGAGGCAAGGTCGGTGCCGATGGATTCCAAGATGTCAAAAGAGACAAAGGTAAGGAAGCGTTGACTTGGACCTGGGGGTCGGAGAGCCTGATGTGTGATGCCGATGTAGGGTCTGTCTGATGTCGAGCCGGGCAAAGGGCAGCACGGGATGGGCTGGCAGGTTCCTCGGGCGGCGGGTAATAGAAGTGGCTTTTATGAATTGAATTGGGAGGGAAGATGGCGGATAGAGTAAAGGATGGGGAGAACAAGGAAGTTAACTGTTCAGACTTGCTTGTCGCGACCAGCTCGGCGAAGCTAGCGCCGGTCTACTTCATGCCCTGACGCCTGAAGGTTCGGGAAGACTAGACGAAGACTGGCGACGAGTCGTTGGTGTCTTGTGAGTCGTCAGAGAAGTTTAGATTTTGGTAAACAAAAAGCCAGCGAATGGGGTGGATATCGCGCTGAGTTGTCAAACTGGTGTCAGGTTTGATACCAGGAAGATCCTGGATGGAGCATGCACCACGATGTCCAACATTACAAGCCGGTCCCTGCGCGATCTGCTTGGGCAATGAAGCCGCACCAGGGTCTCAGCGACCACCGAGTCGCCTTGACGCAAGATGCGATTCGTCAGAGCAAGAGCAAGCGTCGGGCGGACCGATCTGGTCTTGAGATGAGGTTGGTGACCCGAGGCTTGGGCCTTGAGCCTTGAGAGAGGCTGTGCGGCCGTGTGCTGGGTTGGGGGATATGGGGCTTGTGGTGAGGCTCGTGATGTGGATGGACCAAGACCGAGAACCACTTTTACTGCTCGTAGCTTAGTGCTGCGAGGCTAGACGCGAGTCTATGTAGCCTTGGAGAGGGGAAGGGGGTTCTGCTTTTGCCTGACAGGGAAGAACTGGGTAAGCTTGTGACGATGTGAGAGATGTTATGGGGCGGGTTCGGGGTGTTGGTGTGGAGGAAGACGTGAACGGTAGTCTCGGGGTTGGTCTTATAACATGGGAGGGATGCAGATATGGGTCGATGCCGGCAGGATCAGAATTAAAGGAAGGGTGTAAGTAGGGAGTGAGGGGAGAAAAAAAAGTAATAAGAGGGCAGATGAAAAAAAAGCAATGATAATCCAAAGAGACCTGGACTAAAATGGGGGTAACTAGGTAGGTGGGTGTGAGTGAGTGAGTGACATTGATACATGGGAAGAAGTGTGTGTGTGTGAGTGAGAGTGTGCGAGTGAGAGTGAGGCCCGGGAACTTAGGGTGAGGCGGGAAGACAAGCAGCTGCTGCCAGAGTGAAAAAGAAGAAGAGACAAGCAAGCACTTGCCTTCCAATCCAAAGGGGAACAGACCAATGATGGAAGCTAGGTAGACCAAGCCCAAGGAAGTCTGTGCCGGGAGGAGGGGACGGATGGGACTAAAAAAGAAGACCCGAAGCCAGTGGCAGAGACAATGGCGAGCGAGAGGAGCCCAACAAGTACCACTACCGGTCGGTTGATTGTAGTGTAATGCAGAGCAAAAGAGTAATGAACCCGGCAGACAGCGCCGTGGTCGAGGAAGTATCCGTTCCGTGGAGTAAGGTAGGGCAGATTCAATCCAAGTGCGGCTAGATGGCCCCAAAGAGAAACAAGCTGGACCTCGTACCGCGCCAGGAAGACCCAGATGTAATCTAAAAGTGGTTTTACCTCCAAAAAAAAAAAAAGGTGAAGAGGCCGAACTGGCTCAATGCCTGCTGACAAGTTCGTCTTCTCCAAAAGGATTGCCCTGGTCCAAATGCGCGTGGCAGCCCAGCAAGAGAACTGCGGGCAAAAGAGTAAAAGTGCGGCACCAGCAGAGCAAAGTAGCGGCCGTAGCGGAACGAAGCTGCGAGATGGAGCTTTGAATCTTTAATAAGGTATGGATATAGTTGTCGGACGACGTCGAGAACCTCGAGCTGGATCTGGAGTTGGGGAGATGAAGTTGGAGCTGACACCCGGCCGAACGAGGCACGTTATGCAGCGATCTGCAAGGCAATGTCGAAAGATGGGGGTTCCCTGGTTGGCAACCGGCTGTCTGGTAAAGAAGGCGTAGTGGACAAAAATGGACGAGATGCAGGCGATAGATGATTGATGGGTGTGGACATTGACGTGGGTGCGAGAGACTGAGTGTGAGTGGGCGATCGAGTGTCTCTCTTGCAATGGAGGGTGGGCTTGTGCTTGTGTTGGCGCCGACGATGGGTAGAGGCAGGATAGGCGGATGGCAAGGGGGTGTGAGATACGAAGACTTGGGAGAGGTAGTTGTATCTGATGTATCTTTCCTTCCGATTGTTGCTGAGTTGAAGAGCAAGAGAGAGAGAGCAAACGGCTTGAGAGGCAGGCAAGTAAGACTTGAACTGGCCGGGTAAGTCTGGACAGGTGACCGCTGCAGTGCGTGCTGTAACACTTTACGACTACCCCGAGTAAGAATGACGAGACGAGGTGTTTGGAGAGAAGTAGATGAAGAGAGAGAGAAGAGCGAAGGTGGGTGCGCGTATATGTGTGTGTGTGTGTGTGTGTAAGAGAAAGACAGAAGAGTCAAAGGTGGTAAGAGTAAAGAGGCTTATGCAGCAGAGCCAAAGCCAACTGGCTCACACCCCATAACCGGGGCTAGTTTGCGAGCACAGAGTCAGGTCTTGTCAGGTGCCTTGCGCTGGGTTCGTCTGCAGGACTCTGGAATGTCAAGCGGCAGAGAGCTTTGTATTTTGCTACGGTAATCGCTGGTGCGTTATTGTTGGTGAGAGTTGGGCGGTCTGATCTGGTAGTACGGATGACCTCAGGATAAGTAAAGCTCGATGAGGCACGGTGTGAATGAGTAGAGATAGGCGATAGACAGTTGTCGATTGAGATATCGATATAATGAAAAACGCGGCAAACGGGCGGCTCTCTTTTTTCTTCCACACTTCCTCAGTATCTGAGAGGAGTATTGAGGGGGAGACAAGAGGTATGGCTCAGCAGAGTGTATCGAGAGGACGGACGGGCGGACAGACGACGAGAGATGAGATGGGATGGGATGGATGAGATGGAAGCAAAGCAGCCGGCTCAGCCAGGGAAAGACTGCCATGGGGGTGTGCTGAGCTTGCTTGTTGGTCCCCTTCCCATTCTTCCCACCCCTTCGTTTTCTCTCGTCTGTTTCGCGGCAGTGATGGGGTTGCTCGAAGCACGCCCTTCCATTCTCTTTCACACCCCATCGGGGGCTGACATACCTACGGTACTTGCCTATTGCACCTTATGTCAGTTTGTATTGCTTCATCGTCACTGGCTTTGCTGTACCTCGTGTGTTTAAGCCGTGTCTCCTACTCTACCTACTTGATCGGGCATCGACTCTCGAGAGAGTCCTGGCATGGTTGGATGGCACTGTCCCTTTCATTCTACAGTTCTGCTCTGGAAAAGTTCGGCCTCGGTGTCTGTAAAAGTCAATGTGTCCGCCCACACTGTGACCCGTTTCGTTTCGATTTTCTGCTCGATGTCGGGCGGGTCTGAGTAGTTGGGGTCATCGACATGACTTAATCCGTCATCTCCTCTTCTCAATAACACCAGCTACGATTTGAGTTCCTCCGATCGGGACCGCAGACGGTCGGGTTGCTGATGAAGCTGAGACAAGAGATCATGGCTGATTGACTGAATGAATGGAGAGAATGATACAGAGTCCCTGTCCTGCTCTACTGCTTTCCCCTCGGTGCGATGCCAATGACGAGCCCCCTGGACGATGAGCTGGAGGGATCGTAAAAGTTAAAAAAAGTCTGTGAGCACCCAGATGGCTGGATTTGGGGGCGTTGTTTATTACCTCTATGAGACAAGCCCAGTGACCCTTGTTCGTAGGTACTCCTCGCCTCCCCTGGCTCTCAGCCAGGGGGAAGCGCACTCCAGCCACTCTTCCACACAATTGCTTGCATTTCTTTTGTGAAGCACCTTTACCCTCTTCTTTCCCCGGCACATTGTTTTCCGCCGAAAGGCCTTGTCACTGGGTCCCGTTTGGAACCCTCGAGGCACCGTATTCGCTAGCCTGGCTTCGATTGCTTCTGTCGGTAGAGCTTCAGACCCCAGATAAAAAGCCCTTCAATGATGAGGCGAGGCGAGGCGATGCACTGCCGATGCCGAATGACGTACATACATCGTCGTCGTAGACACCCACTTCAGTCCATGGCGGAGCAACAGACTGATCGTCAGCTTCGGAGCGGAGGAGGGAAAAAAAACAGGAGAGACTAGGGAGAGCATGACAAAGCCGTCGAATCTCTCACACTTCAGATGCTCGAGACAACGATAAACCATGCTTCAAGTGTCTCTCGCCCTGGCTGGCAACCTCGTTGACTAAGAAATCGGAACTTGAAGCGCATCGTTATGCGAATGGGGTAACCGTTAGCCGGTACAGACCAGCTAGCCAAGTCCCAGCTAAACTCGATACTTGAATCGTGCAGCAACTGCATCCCTACAAAGGAACCCGACTCATTATGGCCTCCAACTCCAGCCAATAGCCAAGCCCCCGTCCACTGGACTTCGAGACGCTTGTTTGGGCTTGGCCTCTGATAATATGCGTCAAACCAGTGTGGGATAGCGAACCTCAAGCTGACAATTGAAGCCCGATTTCTCAGGTTTCAGAGCCACCAATGAAGCCAGCAGGAACAGCTTTTTCGTCGCGATTCAGTCAAACTTGGGGGGAGATACCGATGTGCAACGAGGCAAATCGAGCCGTCTCGGATTGGGGGGGGGGGGGGGATACACTGCACGTTAACTGCAGATTTCGTGTGAGGGGGAAAAAATCCCAGATGGAAAATGGCCCGAGTCGGCCCCCAAGAAAAATTGGGCTAAAAGGAAATCGGTGGAGCAATTGTCAAGTCAAGGCCAGACAGGAAGAGGCTTCCGCTCCCGCGAGTCTCTCATTGATAGAGTCTTCGAAGCCAATGGAAGGCGAGAAATGAAAATGACAAGCCGCCATTTGGAATATTGGAAAGGGGGCCAGCCAAGTTGACACACAAGGACTCGAAACCCCCTTTCGCTGACGAGTGCGAAAAAAAACCGAATGGTATTGATAACCTGCCCGAACCAGACCAGGTTCGGCGACTTGGTGAGACTCGACGATGCCCAATGGGTGCGGTGATGGAAGCCTCACTTTTCGATTTACCGGTCTTGGATGGCCATTTCCCTAAGTGCATCCGAGTAGGTATTCTTTCACGAGACGAAAGGGAAAGCGGCACGGACGTTGACACTTTCATTCGAGAAGAACATTATGCAGACGGGCCTTGGAGTACTTGATGGACGTGCATATCTGTGCAGTTCTAAGTCAATTGCAGCCTTCTTTTTAGGAGCAGTACTTTGCATGGTGCGCAGGTAAATAGAGACGGAGATATTTGAATCGAAGGTATAGGTACCTTGGTGATTGCAAAGTGAACACGCGTTGGCCTTGATGAAAGACAAGAACCATGAACCTTGCGCGAATGTCGAGCGTGCCAAGGGGCATATAGGTGAGCGCCAGAAAGGATTAGACGGGGAGCAACTTAGCAAGTGAGGTCGAAGAGGTCGATGCAAGACCCCGGTCAGGCAGCCAGGGTTGCAAACCTGGGCTCTGTGGGTTCC